CCATCTCCTACATGATTGTTGACACTTCACGCACAAATTATTTCTATTTATTTAAATATCTTATTATTATTTAATATTATTTATTACATGATTGCTGACACTTCACAAAAGCTTTCACTATTGCTAATGGAGTAATAAAGTTGAAAGCGGAGCTTATCTCCACGGATTGAGTATCTTTACTTAAAGTGAATATATCCCAACTTTTGCTTTAAATCTTCCCCACAAATAGCATGATGATACCTTTACTTTTTTATTTTTTTATTTTTTATTTCCTGAAAGTGGATGTTAGTTGGCAGTCGAAAATATACAGCGAGTCCGCACGGTGTCTTTATATCACGCACACTAGGAATAGCATTACAGGTTACATACTAGCTGTTCGCGCGTTGCTTAATTCTGTTATAATATCATTAGTCTTTGTATCTTATTAATGGTTTATCACATGACTATTTTCCATAACATGCGACAAGTCTGACCAAATTGGATGTCAACAACTTGAATAAAAATATAATATATATATATATATATATATTATTCATCACCTAGTGACACATATTTAACCCAAGTACATGTGCAATATTTATTCAAGGCCTAGAATATTGTGACTGCCTTTAAACTATGTCACTTGTACAACATGTGATTTACCACACGACTGAATAAATTATTTATTTATAGAAGGCACATAGTACAATATTTTACCTTGACAAACTTTGTCAATTTGATTTATTTATTATACGGTCATACTTATACTGTCATTTATTGTCAGGAATTATTGAGCAACTAGATCCACTGATCAACATTGTTGCTGATTAATGAAGTCTACTAACTCATAGATTGATGAGCCACGTGCTCATGGTGATCTCTTGTCTGACCGGACACCCACTTGCTAGGACATTCGCTTATTGGGACACCTATGTGCCTGGACCTAACTTGATGACCCTACAAATAGCCCCAACTTGATGACCCTACGTATGGCCCCGACTCAAGATCCGACACATAAACCCAATATGCGAACCCGACAAGCGGACCCGAGTCATGTTGAGAATCAACTTATAATGAGTGCATGTCGACATAAAATAAATACTTGCAATGAGGAATACCACGAGCCGAGTCGCCTCGCAGCCAGCATAGCCTCTAGTCGAGCCGCCTCGCAACGAGCATCGCCTCCATCCAAGCAAACGCCACGCCGCGAGTATAGCCTCTAACCGAGCAGCCTCGCAACGAGCATAGCCTCTAGCCGAGTAGTCTCGTAACGTGTGATACCTCTAGCCGAGTATTTCTTTATGTTGAGCATTGCCTTAGGTTGAGTACGAGTTCAAGACATCTAGCCACTTCGGCCCGTACATGGATTGGATTTGAAGTCTCCAGCCAAAAGACTCTCTTGACTGAAGACTTGGGGGACTACTGTTGGTACCACACATATTGGGCCTCAGACCTTGACACATTAGGCCTCAACATTTGGGCCTCATTACCCAGCCCATAATTATGAAAATGAGAAGCCCCCTATTCTATAAAAGGGGACTCATCCCCCCTCACAAAGGGGACTGGGTGAATCCAACAGAGGGCAATACCCTCACAAACACAACAACACTCTCTTCCTCTGGGCGACTCCCATTGAGCTTGTAATCCATACATACAGTTACAGAGAAATACAATCAACATCAGTGTGGACGTAGCCCAAACATTGGGGTGAACCACGATACATCTTTGTGTTCTTAGGCGTTTGCATGATTCACGGTCGGATTTACATTGTTCCAAGACCTTCCGGTTTTGTGCATCAACAACTTTAAACATTCTATAACAATAGAATGTATATGGGAGACATAGTCTATATACATGGGATGGAAATCTATAATGATAGATTTCAAGATATAATTGGATTATCTCAATCGCTATTGATAGACGACAGATGTAGGAAGTTTCTCGAATAATAAACTTCAAATGAAAGGACAATTCTAATTAAACTGGGAAATTGCTCTTCTAATAGGGAATGTACCCTTTTGACTCCCAAAGAAGCATAATGCGTAAATAGAATTCTTTATGCTTACGCAGAAAGGTGATTTATGTATTTCATATTGTATGAAAAACTTTGACATGAGTTGTACCAAGAACGGTACAAGACGATATCAGTGCAAGCCCAATATCAGAACCATGGCAACTGTCAAGTGAGTCCTTAAGTATTTAAGAAATACTAAAGGATAGATTCCTCAAGATTGAGGAAGAATTAGAGTAACACAATGGAAGCATAAATGTATTAGATTATGAATCTAATGTCGTATCCATCATTGGATGTCTCTTCATTATAAATGAAGAGATAATTGGATATCTCTTTATTATGACTAAAGAGATATTTGGGTGGAAACATTACAAGTATTGACTTTAGTGTGTTCCATCATGCAAAATATATATCGCCATATAGAAGCTTACAAACAATGTTGTTTGGATAGGAAAGTTCATTTATGAACTCTCCATTCGGTTCCAACCAAAAAGTGTCTCTAGTGTATCGACACTACGACACTAATGGGTCGATAGCTCAAGCCAAGGAATCAAGGTCTGATCAAGATCCAAACTCAAATGAGAGATTGAACCACATGATTGACGGTGACGTCGTTATTCTCAAGGTTGCTTCTATGGATAACATATAGATCTCCATTGTCTAGGCCTACTACTCAGCCATTTTTTAAATGAATTCAGAAGAGGTATCATCACTGATGACCAAGCTGATTGGCTCTAGTGCAAGTGGGAGATTGTTGGAAATGTGCCATAAATCCAATCATATGATGATACATTACGGATATTTCACTTGTTAAACTAATCTAGTTTAATATAAATGGCAAAGATTATTGTTTGAAGTCATCTCATATAAATGTTATATGCTTAAACGATAAGTCCAAGGAATATGTAATTTGGAGAATGTGATCTAAAGAAGTAAGATTCATGAGACCATTCTCTTTCGTATACATATCCTAAACGTTCCTGATCATAGGATTGCCAATTAGGCATTGATAGTCCATTAAGATCAGTACATGCTATGTCTTCTCTTAGGGAGAGTGATTGGTCTCAAGTCATTGGTATGACTGACACCAAGACAAGCATGTAGGTGCTCAATAGAGAATGAGTCCAGTGAATGCGATCAACAAGGAGTTCTCATACTTATGTCACATGAGAACTCATGGTTGGGATAATGAAAAGTAGTCTTTTGACCTAAGGCATCATAGTTGTCTTGTGGTTAGGTCCTTGATCTTTGACTATGTCAAAGTCACTCCGTCAGAGGGTGTCCATGGCATAGTTGGGGTTAAGCCACTTAGCCATGGAGGCAAGTGAATGCACAACAAGGGATCTCTAACCTTCAAACCGTTTAAGAGAGAATACTCTATGATATGATTAAGAATCTCTGGCCCGAGTATGAATGAGATTTAGGAAGTCGTTCCAAGTCACATTCAAGGTAATCATATAAGTAAGAGAATCACATTGGATAGTAGACATGAATAAACTATCAAACCAAACAATGTGGTTAAGAGTATTGTATTAGAGAAAGACCGTATTGCATTGTAATCCTAAACTATATAGGTTCTCCACCTCTTCTGATTAGCTTGGGTAGCCATGACATACTGCTACGTGTCACTCATGGTTTGTGGAAGTCCTAAAAGTGTATAATCACTAAAGGTAGAATTGAAAGTATGTTTCAATTCACAATCGATTTGAAGAGTTCTAATTGTCCACTGCCTCGCTAAAAGGAACCTAATGGATCGTACACCGTGTAAGGTAGAGATTGAAGAAACAACAGAGATGAGTAAGGATAATTAAATGGTTTGATTATTTATGGCTTGGATTAATTAATATGTTAATTAATCAAACAAATAAGTTCGTTATAGACCTCAGGTGAGTTTTGGGCCACAAGACCCATTTGGGATTTGAATGTCAAGCCCATTAACTCAAGTTGTATGACAACTTGAATACACAAAGGGCTTGAAAGCCCAATAAACCCTTAAGGTCAGCCACATTAGAGAATGAAAGGTTTTTGTTCTTTTGTCACTTAAGTGAAGGGACTATATAAAGAACTTTATAACCAAAATTCATTTAGGGTTTTCTTTGAGGAAATTGGAGAGAACACAAGCTCTCTTTTCTCTCTAAGAGGCTGGCCACCCTAGAGGAAATTAACTAGCAATCTTACTTCCTCTAGGTCACTCATCTCTTCATCAATGCTCTCCTTGGTGTGGAGACTTAGAGGTTCTCTATTTTGGGAACTTGGAGAATCCATTCTACCATCCTCATCCAATAAATCCATGGAGCTAAGAAGTAAGGAATGAAGGCCCTATCTCTTGGGTGATTAGCATTTGCTTATGCATAGAGGAATCAACAAAAGTATAATATTTCTCAACTCACTTTGTTCTTGAGTTGAGTATTGGTTCACCACACTCACTAGGCCTTGAATTTCATAGTAAAGTTTTGTTTTGCGTGCATACAAGCATGATTCCGTCTTTTAATTGTTAATTGCATGCATAGATGTTGCTCAAATGAACTAGTTATCACAAATATTTCTTTCCGAAAAAGTGTGATTGTTAGGGTACAAAGGTAAATAGTGGTAGGCGGCGACAACGGTGATGGTGAGAGTTGTGGTGGCATCAGTGGCAACAATGGTTATGGTTGTGGTGGTGGTCACAAAGATGGTGGTAGTAATGACAGTAGTGATGTTAGGTGATGGCGATCAGTTTATTCTCAAGGGATAAAATGTGCATGGAAGAATAAATAATGTCATATTTAAAAAGTAATGATAATATTACAAGAATTAAAAATAATTATTAAAAGCTTAACTCTGCTTCTTATGTTTGGAGGCCATTACTTTTAAAGTAAACAAGATATTTGAGTCTTACCAAACACTTATTATTGTTCGGCTTCAAGTGATGCATCTTTTGGTGAAAAAAAATAAGTAAGATTAAACGGGGCCCTTGAACCAAGGCAAAATAAAAATTAAAACAGATGGTGCCATGAAATAACAAGGATAAACTCAAAGTAAAATTTTCCATTGAAACAAATTACAAAGAAAGATGTTTAACAAGTTAGGGAGCCGCTACTTGCAGTCCTTAAAAATCTGATCACGCACTTCTCCCTAATGGAAAAAATTGAGGGAACAGCAGGATGCTATTTCGCAGTGCTAATAACAATTCCCTTAAGTTATACTCCGAAAAGATAAAACTCTTTTCATTTGCTTAACTACCAAGAAAAATTTACCTTGGCCTAGTCTATAATTCTATATCCAAGGGCCAAATAATGGGCCAGCTCTATATGGAATTACAATGAAAGGCTCAAAGGAAAAACTAGAAGAAAATTGGAACGACAAGTAAAAGGTTGAAAGAGGAAAAACAAAGAAGAATTAGGAGCAAAATAAAATCCCAATTCGGATTGCTAGATGGAAGCCGTTAACGTCTATAACGTCTAAAACAACGGCTCAGAGAAAATGTTGAGTAGGGTACTCTTGCTCGTATCCGTTATAGTCATAATATAGCCTCTCCCCTTTAGCAATATCACGAGTAGCAACCAAAAAGACCCGACATTCACCATTAACACTGTATCTCACGCATTTACAATTCTGCTTCTTTTTTCCTTCCCTGCACAAAAGTTGTTACATTTTAAGCACAGCGGATGCAGACACGCTCAATCCAATACATCCGAACACAGAAATATATAGTTTTATCATATGAAGTTCATTGGAGGACACAAACAACTAGTAGAAAGAAAAAGTTATTAGGCTTACAAGGTATGATTGTTGATGCCGTTGATAAATCGAGCAATGTTTCCGCGTTTATCCGGGCAGATGACAAGACTTTTAGATGGTTCAGTTGCTAACAGAAGGGTCATCATACTGTCACAATCGTCATTTTCCCGATGCTTAATGTAATCAACATCACCCGTGTATTCAGCAATAAAAGTCATATCCTTCATCTGCTCATCAGCCTCTACTGTAAAACTACATAAAAATAAATGAATAAATTCAACACGAATCTAATCAATATGCAGGTACCATATATAATTTGGGGCTTAATTACAGTAATGTTCTCTGAACTTGATCCCGTGTTTGATTTTCATCTCTGAATTTTGTGTGGCATTTTGGTCATTTATGTTAAATCCATCCATTTTCTGTTAAATTTAGGAGGAAATAGGACTTTTTGCATCCAAAAACTTTAATAAAACAGAAAAGAACAAAAATTTCAAGTCCTTCCTAAGCTCCTATGTGGGAAAGATCCAGATATACCCCCTCTCAGTAATTGGGAAATTGATTGAAATTATCATTTTACAAATCCCAATTGCTGAATTAATCAAAATCAAATATTGACGACATACTGAAAAAATTGACAGCATATCAAGAAAAAATTGACAATGGATCGATCAAATACGAAAAAGTGATCATTCAACAATTCGGATTTGTACGTTGATCATTTCAACTACATTCACAATACATTTTCCCTGAAGTTAAAAGAAAATGGATGGAGTTAATAAAAAGGACCAAAATGCTACTCAAGAGTGAGTTTGAGGACGATATACAACAAAATAAAGGATCAAGGACGAAAATGAAACACGATTACAAGTTTAGGGACCATTGCAGTAATTGACCCTATAGTTCAATGCACCACAAAACTAATAAAGACCTTCAGTCTTCAGAAGAATAAAAAGGTTATATAAGAGGGCATTGTAATATCATTTAAGATATTGTTACCCTTCACATGAATTAAAGATTAATGCTGTAAGAGGAAGGCACCACAAAGTACTATGAGATAAGTTACCCTTCGTGTGAATCAAAAGCTACTTTAAGAGGAGGGCATTCGCCTCTTTTGCACATGGTTCTGCAAAGCTCCAATGTCTCGGTATCTTCCTTGGAAAGAATCTAATAGAAAGAATGCCAGTACTTAAATCACATGATGGAGTTGATAATCAGTTGGCCCTACAAATGGCAACTAATATATCTCGAGAATAAGAGATAGAAAACCTGCATGCCACCATCTTCAAACTTGGACTGATTAGCAGATCTTGGAGCCATTCCGGGCATGTAAGCGAGATCATCACTGAATTCCATGTGCAATGCTGTTAAAGCAGAAGCCAGCGAACCCATTTGTTTCAGCCTTTGAGCAGGATCTTCTGATGAAACAAATGGAAGTATTCTTCTTCTTCTCTTCTGCAACACTAATGATCCTGAACGCCTCCGGCGTTTTCTGGCATCTATTCAAACAATAACAACCAAGTCAGCAAACAAAATAAGCACAGTAATCAATTTTAAAATTTATTGCATGATGCAAGAGAGAAACAACCAAACATCTTTGATCTATGTGACAGCATACCACATAAGACAATTCACTGAAAAAGTCAAATATTGTACACGGCATAACCTATAAAATATAAGAGTACAAAAGTTACAACGCTTCCTATTAGGGCGTTGCCTCCAAAATTTTAGTAGCGTGATTTGAACATAAGAATAAATAAACCTGGCAATAAAAGAAATGCATGTTCAATAGCCCTGAATAGCTCATAGAAGAATACTATACAATTAAGAGTAGAGAATGGAGATGGTTAGCAAACAGAACTGTCCTTCTAGGTTACCTGGATGCGTGTTTTGAATATGTATGTGTTGTTAGAGTAACAAGTTAAGGTTGTGCGTGACAATGTTTCTGTATCAGAACACCATTCACTTCAATCATAGCCCATTTTCATAAGTCAATTTCATTCCTAATTTGGCCTTTTTGTTACAAACGGTACAGAAACCTTAATCATGCACAAACAGAAAAGCCCACCAACTCTGCACTTCCTTTCTCACTAAGTGGAATGATCTCATTCAGCATTTCATACCCTGCACTAATAAACTAGTGAACTGCAATTTGTCAAATATATTTTAACATTCCACGAGTGCCAATTATTATTATTATTCAACACTCATAGGCACATAATGGTATTCTTTTTTTCCACTCCTATATATTGCTTCACAGTTAAAAAGATACGCTGTAATGATCTTAATTATTCTCTTTTCTCGTCCTATTTTGGAAGAACATGGGAATAGATTCTACTATTAGATCAGAACAAAGAAAAGAGGGCTTTAAGAGAAACAATAAACCACTAGATTTCTAATGTGCTGGATACACCGAGGGAACTTAATCGCTATATGATATTAAAATGTTTCAATATGTTTGGTACAACAATCTTACATACTTAATAGGGCTTTTCCATTCTCTCCTATAAGTGCTTAATTTTTTTTCAATAGGTAATTGTTAAATACAAGTGAGTAAGCAACCATGAACAAGGATATTGGATAAACATCATTAAAAACATACGGTTTCCTTTTGGATAAAGTGGGGATATGTGATATGTCCTCAATACAACATGGAGACTTCCAGCATAATTGAGTAATATTTTTTAACACAAAATGGACTAAAATTATATAATTAACATATTATTCTGGTCCATTTTAACAAAAAAATGGACCAATGATATGGAATCTGCACTGTAACATGTTCACCGCAGAGTGGAAGTTTTGAAAAAGTAGCATCAGCAAGTTACATGAAATTTAATACAGAGGCCAGACAAAGTATCATATATGACAGAAAGCTACAAGAATGTTTTATTTCCTTGCTAAATTGTTCTGGATGGAGATAGCACACAAAGGAAAGCATTCCTTTTTGTCTTTTATATATCAAGTAAGGACTGTCTTACATAGAGCAGTTCATACATTGGTTAATGGTTATGCGTGAGTAAAAGAAACTTATATAGTGAATATGGCAGATTGTTGCTAAATGGAAAATTTCAGTTTCTAATCCAAGATCACACAACTAACCTCTAAACTTAAGATGAAAATATATCTGATAATGTTTTAAGCAGCACCTTATGTCTTCGCACTACATCAGTATGTATGCATAAACAAGTACTCTAATTATTGTAGTTATGACTTTGAGCAAAATCTTAGCCAATATTACACATGCTAAAAGTCTTAACTCCAAACTAATACTATTGAGTTCATGCATTGTTAGTAGTTTTACATAAACCTGACAATCGAGATACTACCAGAACATGGATTTATTGCTTAGTTATTAATGAACTAACATTAGAGAATCTACATTTGGACAATAATGACTTTTATCGGACTTGTTAAGGGGTGATAACGAATAGACATTATGTGTTACCAAAAACATCCATGGCATGTTTACCTCTTTGAAATGGGAGAAGTCGTGAATGGGAAGAGAAAGAAGGAATTGGTGTGGGATCAACTAACGCCTTAGCTGATATGATTCCTACTTTGTCAGGCATTAGATTAAGGAATTTAATGTGAAACCCACATTTTCTTTTCAGTTCCATATGTTATAGTAAAGTAAACACAGTGGAAGTCAGTAATTAGAATAATTTCAATACCCATGCTCTGGTAAACGCATGTATGCCAAGAATCGGGATAATTTCAATACTCATTCCATCAAAGTACACATACCATTAATACATCATTGAGAAATGTTATGACGTTTTTGTTAGAATCAGTATAACAGAATAGTTAACTGGCGTTCTAACGAGTTAAGCTTTTCATCACTGGTATACCAAGAAAGCTTTTCTAATTATTCAACTCTAAACTCAATCTCATTTACGATCTTCATCGTGTCCTCACATTCTAATTTTGAACTCCCTATCATAGAAACATTATGAATCCAATGTCTTCCCTTGTCCTTAATTGTCATGAAGCTTTGAACATCATTAACAAATATAATGATCACGAAACGGAAACCTATGGGAATCGCAACCACGAAAACCACAATCGCCATTGAGTACCATATAATGTACCGGAATTTACCTTGAGGAGAAGCACATTCGTCTTTGGGGTATCGATCACTACATTTCTGAATCCGGAAAAAATCAACAATTTTTTTCTGCGAGAAACCTGAACCAAAACCAAAAAAAAATGAAAATTTATAAATAAGAACATGAATGCAATTGTAACTCCAAAAAAAAGAAAAAATTAAAAAATTAAAAATAAAAATCCCCTACTTCTTACTCGTCTGTGTCCGGAGCAGGCAGGGCAGAGCCATGATCCAATAGGGACAATGGCGACGATAGGCCTGAGGCATTTCATGTGGAAGCCTCTATCGCATTTATCGCAAAGAAGCAGCTCGTCGGATCGGTCACCCGACCCACAATGCTCGCAGGTAACGTCGCCATAATCACCTCTCTCCACCACCGTGAATTTAGCCTTCGCCATTATCTCCGCCATGGACTTCATCTTCTTCTTCGGCGGCGACCCAGGCGGCGAAGGCTGGCGCGGCGCCGATGTCCTCCGGTTGAAGCGGATAAAAAGGTGAGCTGGAGCAGCTGCCGCAGCCGCCGAGGAGGTGGTGGCCGGAGCCATTACGAATTCAGGTAAATGCTAATTTTTGTTGATTGAAGGCAAGGAATTAATTAAAAATAAGAATGACGGAGGAGGAGGAGAAGGCGGAGGCGGAGGAGGAAGAGGAAGATTTTGGTTGTTGGTATTACGGAATGCTGGTCTCTCCTCTCGCGGGGTTTAGGAAGAAGGGGGTAGGAAGGTACTGTTGATGATGACGTAGGCAGGCTACGCTAATGTGATCTGAGTGCGTGAACGGTAATTAAAGTGCGCACCTTCGGGAGTCGTCTTTCGCTATCCTTACATGGTCACATTTAGAGCAGTTCTAGCGTGGCAACCCTCTCTCCCCCCGGGCAATAAACTATGCTATCCACTCAATGAACAATAAATGTCAAGTAAATGCCCTTAATAAACAGTAACCATAACCGTTGCACTCTCCCCCGGAGCAATACACTATGCTATCCATCCAGTAAACAGTAAATGTCCTTAATGAACAGTAACCGTCACCATTGCACTTCAATAGCCCTAGCAATAGGCAATAAAATATTAGTATTTTTTTTATTTATAAAATAATACAAAATAATTTTATTTGTAATTTCGGATAAGATTTTTAATCGTTCTCCTTGCGCCACGTGTCATAATCCAAAAAAGACAATTATTGGTGATGGATTTCCGATAAGATTTTTAATCGTTCTCGTTGCGCCACGTGTCATTATCCGAAAATACAATTATTGGTGATTGATCACGTCGCGCTACGTGTCATAATCTGTTTACAATCTTTGAGGGTAGATTTCCGTCATATTTTTAACGAATGACGGCATGCCACGTGGCATTATCTACAACTTAATCCTTTCTGAATCCTCCATATAATCCACCATACATCCTCACAAATCTCACACCAATTTTCTCAAGATCTCTATCATTATTCATAGTTTATGCTTCCTTCTTCACCAAATTCTCTATCATTATTCATAGTTTCTGTTTATTTTTAAAAACAATTTTTTTACAAATCTCACACCATCCATCCTCACAAATCTCACACCAAATTCTCATTATTCATAATGAAAAGGTATTTATAGAAAGGTAAAAACAATTTTTTTTTTTAATCAACTTTTTTTTTGGATTTTTTACAAATTTTTTAAAATTTTTATTGAACTAATTAATCTCTACCATTGGATTTTAAAAAAAATTGAATTCCAACACTCCAGATTGTGCCATTTGTCACAACGGTAACTTTTCTTAATTTGAAAACTTTTTATTTATTTATTTATAAAGCAGAATAATATCAACCGTTGATCTCAAATCCAACAGTTGATATTAAATAAGATTTTTTTTTATTACCGTTGCAAATCGGAAGATCCAACAGTTGATATTAAATAAGATTTTTTTTATTACCGTTGCAAATCGGACGGTCCAATTTAAAGAACCGTTGAGATCGAACGGACCATGGGAAGCCACGTGGCTTCCCAATGGTAACATTGGCAGACTGCGACGCGGGCCCAAAGTCTGAAAAGTTGTCGGTTGACGCACCCCCACGCGCTTGTGAGGCACATGCGCCTGACAGAAAAAAATAAAAACTTGGGCCGATGCTAGGATGACGTTAGACCTGGCGTCACATCCACTCAAGCTCTCGGGCTGGCAATTCCTCACAGGCCTGGTGCTCGGGCCCGCACTGTCCCTCGAGCTTCCAACGTTGGAGTGTGTCACTCTGGCTCTCCGGCCCTGTTTGGTCCACTATCCCCCAAGCAAACTCCCACGGTGGAGTTGCTCTTAGGGTGAATACTATCCGGTTCGGCTTGGTTTTTCTCTCAAATCATAATTGGAATTAAAAAATATCAACGATTCAGTTTGATGCGTTTTTACTTAAATTTATTATTAAAATTATACGGTTTGGTTCACATCGATTTCGGTTTGATTCATGTATGTTTATGACTCTAACTAAAAAATATATACATTTCGAGTCTTCTACTTCCAATACCAACACATTCAACCAAAAATTCAAGCAAATTATCTAGTTAAGTGTAAATAAATATTAAATTATAAATTTAGACACCAAAATATTAAAAAAAATCGTCTAAGTTACCACATTAATAATGTTTTTGCTTTAATATGATAGCACAACTTGATCAAATCCCAATTACTCACTGGGGAATCTGTTTCCTCTCCTCCCCTAAAACCAACAAGAATTGCTAATTACAACTTACAACGCAACAGCCAAACAAAGATCTCCCTAAATGTGATATATACTGACCCAGCACCCACTACATACTTAAAGAATAGGCCCTAATCAATCCATTAATTTATAAAAAAAAATAATAATAAAACAATAATTTATATTAAAAGCAGTTTGGGCTGGTTTCTCCGGTTCTTAGTTTTCCCAAACAGGAATCGGAACCCGTTTGAAACGATCTGGTTCGGTTTTTTGTCCTGATTTTGATTTTGATTTTTGTTGTCAATGCAGTTTTTTTCGGTTTTTTTATTGCGGTTTTCCGGTTTGGCAATTTTATGGCCACCCCTTATTACATTGTAGCCGTTTGTAATTGTAGTGACTGAATTTATGTGAAATTTTTGTTAAAAGAAAGAAAACAAAAATGTAATCTAATACAGATTTCAATTGTTGAATTAATTAAAAATTAAATACTTTTACATATTTATAAGAAAGTAATAATTTAATCAGAACTTCTTTTTTCTCTCAAAGCTAAGAGTTATTCTCACTTCTTGTGTGAGGCTTCCAAACCCAAGAAAACCCAGTGGCACCGGCCCTAGCTTCGGTCGAGGTCAGTTGCCATTTCCTTCATGCTTTCTTTCTCTTTTGTTTTCCTTGCTTCTACTGTTTTTTCTCCCAAATTACTACTCGAATTTGTTATATTCCTCTGCCCCCAACGGTATTACTCTTCCTGGCTCTTCCTTGCTCCGATCTTCAGCCATGAATCCTACTGAGAGTGCGCGTAGAGTTCCAGTGTATCCACCGACTCGGGTGTTTCCAACACCACCACTTTCTCTTTGTTGTCTACCAGTTCCAGCTGTGTCATTCGTGGGTTTCCACGAGCTTCATACTAATAGTTGGCTTCTCTCGCTTAGTTGGCGGCTATCCCTAGCTTATGGTTATGCTCAAATAGCAAATCAGGGTTGGATGTGGCATCTGTTGAGGCAGCGCTCGGCGGTGGACAAGGAAACAGACGGATGGACTTGAACTGGATTGGTGGAGAAAGCTGTGGAAAGTTATGGAAGCTTCTGGTTTCGAAGGCTTGGTGTCAAGTTTGAGCCTAACTGTTTTTGGGCTAATTCTGTGTTTTCTAGTGTTTTAGGCCTATTTTTGTTTGTTAATATGTAGTCTTTGGGCCTTGGTTTGCTTGTATGTTTGTGTTTTTTTTTTTTTTTTATGTTTAATAAAATATCCTTTTACCCAAAAAAAAAAGTAATAATTTATTGATAATACGTCGATGATCTATAAGATTGGAATTTGATCATTTGAGCTACAGAAATTTAAAAATTAATCATTTCAACCATCTTCACAAAACATTTCCCTCATTTGAACACAATATAATTCAAAGACATCATTTGAACACAATATGATTCAAAGACATTTTATGTTTATTGGAAATAGGGGTGCAAATGAGCTAAACCATGACGAGTATTATGGTGCTCAAGCTCAGCTCAATATTAAGGCATGCCTAAGCTTGACTTGAATGATATTTTCAAGCTTGAGCTTGGCTTGTTTGGAGGCCTGAAATCCATCTTTTGTTTGGCTAGACGTAATCAAAATTGAAAACTAATATAGGTAAATAAATAAATAACATAATAATTGTTGCAGGACATTTATGTCCGCTCACTAATTGGTGTAACCATTAGGCAATTGATTCCTCTATTTAATAGGTCATTGATTCCTCAACTAATTAGAAATTGATTATCCGTATTGAATTAGGCATATGTGTATAATTTTATTGTATAGTCACATCACTAAATAGAGGTGGCTATGCCCCACAGTGTAACAGATACGAAATTCTCTAATAAGAATTCCCTCATTCTCTCTCAAATTATTTTCCTCTACAACATGTAATCAGCACTTTTACGCTTGACGGAATCAAAATTACAACAATATTCCCCTAGAAACCCTAGATTTTGTTTTTTTGCAGCCCATTAGCCGCAAGGAAGAAAAATCATAAAATACTTCCAAGTTGTCGTAAAAAGCCTTATTCCAACAAACGAGTTCATTGTGAAAGGCCATTTTTACTGCAGAAGGCCAGCCTCTTCAAAATACCTATGTTGCTACAGTCCTTAGCCGCAAAAGCACTTTGTTTTTTTTTTTTTTGGTAGAAAGTGGAAATGCATTCCAAAACACAGCAAAAGTTGAAGTACAACTGGAAAGCCCTACAAGGCTAACAGGATAAACACAACAAAAGGAGTAGCGAATACAAGTAGACACTAATATAACAAACCAAGCGTCATTCCCTACTCCAATAAGCCACCTACAAAGGAGGACACCGCAATCCATCCTTGTTTAAGATTCTAACCAACGAAGATGGAGGTCTGTCAATCCTACATTCCTCGCTCATCTTCGTACCCACATAGGTTGTGACGAAATTTGCCGCTTCATTCGCTGATCTTGGCACCCAAGACCATTTACAAATCTTCCCAACATCTTTAATGCAACTGACAATGGGAAAAAATTCCCAACTACAATTTTCCTTTTCTGCATTAAGAGCCGAAATTACCTGCTTTGAGTCGAACTCTACAATTATCCAAGGATAATTCCTTTGCTTTGCACTTAGACAACCTTGAAGCACCGCCTTAGCCTCCGCTATCCAAGCAGCGCATACTTTCTTCCTTTTGATGCTCTTACATCTTCCTTGTGAGTCTCTAATCACAATTCCCACATAACCTTCATTACACCTAAGTTTCCAACTTGCATCAACATTCACTTTGATCATTTGCGAAGAGGGAGGAGACCAAGGTATCATTTTGCTATGATTTTCCAGACCCAGGGATTGTTGGATTCTTGTCAATTCCTTCGCCGTTCGGAAAATCGAACAGTCACAATTGATAGCATGAATGGTTTGAGAAGGAGATTGATTTTGATGATTAAAAACTGCTTTACATCGAGCTTTCCATATATACCAACACGTGAAAGCCATTAAAGATATAGATCTCTTTCTATCCTCTTTTGTTGCATAGCTCCCTTTCATCATTTCCTTCAACCAATCCTTAATATTTGTCACTAAACATCTATCAATATTATAGCCAAGTCGACCCCCAAACCAAACTGG